GAAGAAAGCAGTAGCTGGACAACCTGGTTTGCCTGGGCCACCAGGACGACCAGGAACGCCGGGACAGAGTGGACATCAAGGAAAAGTCGGCCTGCAAGGACCACCTGGACAACAAGGTAAGCAAGGACCAGACGGTATCCCAGGAGAACCTGGCAGTGAAGGACCAGCTGGACCGCCTGGGCCAGACGGAGCTTACTGTGCATGCCCGGATCGGGTGAAGATTCTCTCTGAATTGGTACCATATTCTAACGGTGATTATGAAATTATTGATGCTGAAAATTCTGGTGACGCTGACGACGCTTCTGGAGCATCTGGTGAAAATGAAGAAGTCATCAATGTTTGACAGCGATTGTTGTTCGATGGTTGAAGAAAATTATATCCAAATAAACTTCTTTTTTCCTGCAATGGGCATATTTGATTACATAAGGGCGGCGGTACAGTATACCTCGCTCGGGACCTTGACGGATTTTCGCATAGACCAGCTAAACATGTAACCAGCAGTTCAATAACAGAAACAAGAGATGCCCGATTTGCACATTGTTTGATGACGCACTGGACGGAAACATTTTCAAACTCTTCTAAGTTTCCATAGGAACGTTGATGTACGGCGTGATTCCAGGTGTGAGTAATCGCTTGCTCTTCTAGGTAAGATACAGAAGGAACTCATAAGTATATGTTCATACTTTGTGGCAGCGTCTCCCAGCGTCTACTAGCGGCCAGCCACTGTCAGCATCCACCAGCGACCAGCAGCGCTTCAAGGAGCGTCTACCAGCGACCAGCAGCGTCCGCGAGTGAAGAGCAGCGGCGATCAGCGCGCCTCGGCGCGGAGTCGCCAGCCGGGGTGCGGCGGGCGGAATGCGCGAGTGTCGGGTGTGTGCGACCCTCCCTTTCGAATGCGGGTCCAGGCACGACCCTCGTCCACCTCCACGACCTTTCGGGTTAGAGTAACCACGCCAACTGATATAATTATGCAACGTATATCCCACGCGCCGTACAGAATGCAGATTAGTGCCATATAAACAAAAAAAATTACGACCCCCCCCTTCTCCACAAGAAAAAATCAACTATCAAAATAAATTTGTCTTACAAATACGACCCCCCCCCTCCCCACAGCAAAAGTACGACCCCCCCCAATGGATTGACACAACGATGCTGTACCCTGCTACCAGCGACCAGCAGCGTCCGCGAGTGAAGAGTAGGGTGCGATATGAGAGGTTAGGCAGACAGTTTAGTGTAGAGAACGGGGACTGCCGTGATAGACTGATGTGGACGCTGCGTGGCACGGGCTCGGCAAACGCTAGACGTTATCTACACTCCCCAGTGCTTGATGGCGCCGGACGCTCCGGAACTGCTGGTGGACGCCTGCCGCAAAGTGTGTACGCAGTCCTTAACGCAAAAAATCTTCTAACTATGAGCAACAGACTAATTAAGTTGTTTATGATCGGATGTTCCGTCTTAGCGTTACGCTGCGCGTTAACGCTGATCTAGATCTAACTCTACAATCAAAAAAGCTCTCAGAATCGAGTTATGCAGCGTCCTTCGCCAACTAGCAGGAAAAACGCACAACAGCAAGCCATGGGTATTGGAATTGAACTGGTTTTGTGGGTGCAAACTGCTATGAAAAAGTGAAGAAGTTCGGAGATGGAGTTGCAAATAGAGTAAAAGTAGAAGGACTGAGAACCATAGCTCCGCCCACTGGCCAGGGCAACGCCCGTTCCATCTCTGAAGGCATCCTGGTGGTGCACTTGTTTCGATACTAGCTGTTTTTACTTCGAATGGTGAGATTGAGGAGATGAGAGGAGAGCTTATCCCAGTAAGTTCGAACTCGTCCTACCACGCCCTCTCTTCGCCTTATGCACGTACAAGCGCGGTTCATAATGGGATTGTATGGAGGGCATTCCTGACGGGTTTTCCTCCGGCTTTCACCTTGCCACTGGTATTTGATTCGCACAATTCTCCATTTTTGAGGTGACTTCGAATCTGGACGCAATCTCTTCCATTCGTTCGTTCCCGGCATGAAGTACATCTTGCGAAGCAGCGGTCTTTAGTTTCGGAATTACAGACCTGCATTTCTAGGAACAGTTCCTCCTAAACTGTAACACTGCTAAACCCAACTCCCATGTAAGTTTGCAAACCTTACAAAAGTTTTGCTCTTCAGGATACTGAGCCGAGGCACTGGTTCAGGTGACACAAAGTAATAATGGAGACCAAGAAGATGACAAATAAAGACAAACCTCCAAAACCGGAAAAGTTCGCATCCCAAGCGAGGGTAAAATATTTCGCCGTGAGGTCGTGTGTGTTCTGTGCACCTTGTCTCACATTTGATTTGACGCCTCCATTTACGAATATGGAAAAATCATAAGAATTATGTTGATTATTTGTTGGTTATTGGTTCTCCAAAGAATGTTTCTTCTTTCGGTTGTGATCAAGACATCTGATCGTGATATGTTTCGGAGGTTTTTTCACGGCATGAATAAAATTATGTTAACTATTTGTCACTTACGTTTCGCGAGTTTTCTTTCATTTATCATACAAGTACGTCTAATCGAAATATATTCCAGAGAATTTTGTCACGACATGAATCCCATAACCAATATCAAGAACCAGAACAAGTTAAATGAGCGCGAACTTCAACTGGGTATTTCCGGCGATCTGGGTAAATCATGGCATCAGAAATACAAAGATTCCGCATGGATCTATATAGGAGGTTTACCTTATGACCTGACAGAAGGTGACATCATCACAGTTTTCTCACAGTGAGTACTTTTTCATTTGGGTTTTTTAAGTCCTTTATAATCTTTTTTCAATTACATTGTTGTCATTTTTGCTCACGTCTTCGTTAAACTTACAAATAAGAAAAATTTCTCATTCGCGTATTCGTTGAACTTAGAGATAAGAGAATTTCTCTTCTCGTATGCTTAGTTAGGAGTATTCTTTTGAGTACCATCAAAAAACTGCTGGTGATTTAATATTTATTCACGATAGAATCATCCGGGGTGATGCATGCCAGACTGCGTTGAACGGGGATTACGAAAAATGAAGAATCTTCTTCGCCGAAGGAAAGGCACGTAGGAGCCTTTCTCTCCGAAGTCTTGGAAAAGCGCTGACGATCAAAATTCGTGCGGCCGCTTCGCAGAGAAGCAGACTTTTCTTCGCGCTGCCACCTAGCACTCTCACCTACATTAGCGCCAAGGTGCACGAGGGCAGGGAGGGCATGACTGCATACTTCATTTGGAACATGGCTTAAGACCCGTTTCTTCATGGGGTATTTCCATTTAGGAACAATGTTATCCTGTCGGGTGCTGGACAGCAACGTGGTTGCAACTGTCTTGAAACCGCAGTGTCCCACCAGAACTGTTGCCGCCATCAGATTTAAACAAATTATTTGACTACGATCTCTTCCCCCCCCCCGGGAGTACGGGGTGTAGATGTGAGCAAAGTATCGAGTGAGTGGGCGGCTTCAGATGTTTGTGGCGTCTTCAATAGGCTTCTTATCCTTTGTCGCAGGCTCGTTCATCCATAGGATTCGCAAGTTCGCCGGCCTGCAATATTCTGTGTTCTTTTACAGCAGTAACTGTGGTTTCGCTTTCTTCTTCCTTTCAAATAAAGTGGTGACTCGCTACCACAACATGACTTTCTCAGAATCTGAGGCAAGACCCCTATCTAAACTCGTAAGCTATAGAGATTTCGGTTCTCTTCTGGCGCGTTGGGTGTGGAGGGGGAGCAAACAATCGGCAGCACCTCTGTGTCTCTTTATTAATGAAAGCATAGGTTGGCGGAAAGTGTATTTTCTGCTATCCCTTTGTGACTCTGATCATCTTAGCCGTCAGGAGAACGGACATAAAAGCGCTTAGTGCATCCTCCCAACTATGTTGTCAAAATAAATGTTTTTTGAACTGTGACTTGACATGCTGCAGAATTCAAACGCTAACTACAAGGGTCTCGGTGCGAATGCGGGTGTGAAGTCTTTGACGTTCCAGCAAGCGACAGAGTCTGCATCATTCTCTTTCAACTCGCGTGGTGTGCAGGGCCATATTGAACTTGATTGAAATAATGTCACATATACACTGGAAGAATCGTCAAACAGTTTTAAGATATAAATAAATGCAAAAATTGGACCACTGCTTCGTTGTACCGCAGTTGTCATATTTGCTCAAAAATTCACTGTTTTCATTTGTAGGTTTGGCGAAGTGATACACATCAACTTGCTGCGTCATGCGGATACGGGAAAATCTCGAGGTTTTTGCTTTCTGTGCTATCAGATCAAAGGAGTTACTGCTTCTAGTGTTCGATAACTTCAACGGGATCACCGTAAGTTTGAAGTTTGAATGTTGGTAAACAGATTCAGCATCCCGTGTTTTACAGTTGTTGAAGCGGATGATACGAGTGGATCACGTCGAACAGTACAAAGTGCCTAAATATAAGGAAAACGCAGACGAAGAAACCAAGCGATTATGGGAGGAAGGTTGCGCTCCTAAGCCTATTCAAATAACTGAAGCTGGTATGTGGATGACGTTATGCAGTTGTTTTGAAGGCATCATTCACTTTCAAGTAGTTTAGACATTTATGAAATATAAACTTTTTATGCTCAAAAAATAGCGACAAATTTCCATTTATTCTGAATGTTCGCCATGAACGAAGTAACAGTCGAATTGATAGTAAGAGGCCACATAGGTAAAAGTCGTTTCCGCAGTAGTTTCTAGTTTAAGAGTTCCGTTTCCCGTCATATTCTATTGTCCTAAATTTAATATTTCCCTTTATGGGCCCTCATTTAATCTTGTATAACTCGTGTAGGCCCTGGAAGTCTGCTGCACAAGAGTTCGTAGCTCTAAAAAAACTCCAATTTTCATCGTAAATCTGTGATTTCGGTGCTTACCCTCTTTTCCAGCAACCTGGGTAGACCCTAGCTGTTGCGGTGTGGCTACTCTATCCAGAGCTGATGCCGCGGGAGAGCTTTCTTCTGGCAATGGTGTAAGCACCGAAATCTTCGCAGGCATACCCGAGCATTAACTTCTTCTGGGATTTTTGTACAGTTGTATGTAGACATTGGGAGCCCACGTTGTGCTAAACCACATCTGCATCCTCCTCTAGCCAACCCAAGCTGCTTGGAAGTCTACTGAAACGGAAAAGTTTCCCTTTCCCTTTAAGGTGTACATTATGACTCCTTCACTATCATGAAAGTACTGCCAAGCGTGTCGTGCTCAATCCACGGCTTGCCATGACATTTGGTGGTTCAACTCTCCCTTCATCGCTACTTCTAGTGCGCCTCTCGGTCCAAATGCCCTACTTCTCCTACATTCTTACGTTTCTTTACCTCAACTTCCATGAGTATTCCGTCGACCGCGTACGGCTAGGACTGGATCGATTCCTATACTTTCTCCAGTCGCTCAAAACACTGTAAGACTGATAAGCCATCAAAGGGTGCGGTAGCACTCAAGATGATCATAGAAGTATACAGAAAAGTATAAAGGGATAAACTGCTCGATGTATGGCATGTTCACTTGTTTTTTTATAGGATTTGTTCTTGTTCCACTGATCTTTGAAGAATGAGTGAGAAGAGGTGCAATTGAGTTATTGTGGGAAAGATACCAATAATGCAGAAAACCTTTCGGTTTTGCAATACCTCAGAACTATTGTTATTTTCCGTGTTGGAGCACAAGTTTGGAGCACGAAAACTGCCAACTTATTTCATGTCAATACGAGCTGCACCATATGCAGCATCCATTTGAATAGGGGCAAATGAGTTTGATGCACATGGTACAGCACTCGGAACCCTACTTCTTATGCCGGGAAGTAACTGGGATAATGACGTTCTTTCGAACTCGTCCGCTATGAGCCACTGGTGGCTCACATTGTACCTCGTGAACCACTTTTTTGCTCTTTCAAATCTCGCAAAATGACTGGGCAATCTTGAACGGAGTGCTATTCCTACCATCGTTGACCACACTGGACCCCATCTCAAGTTCTGCCTCCTTCGATCACGCCCACTTTTCGGCGCGATCATGACTTTTCAATTTCACACTATTACTTCGGCTTCTGCGGTTTTTTTTTTTTTGCTTTTTTCTGCTATTTCGCAATCACAAAGTAGTTCATAGACGGCTATAGCCACACCAACAACA